GGCACACTGGGCAGCATAGTAAGTGAGGGTGCTGCCCTGGACCTGGAGGATTTGAGGCTGGTTTCTGTTCCTGCTGTCAAGGTGCTGTTAGACCTTGGGAGTGCTGTGGCCTTCACTTTCCTCGTGTTTATAATGGGAAAACTGGAAATTTCCTTCCATTGCTTGCGTTCTTCCATTACTTGAGTTCAGAGTCATCGTCTGTCTTTTACACATTGAAATCTTTTGCACAGCATTGAAGATACTTCTATTTGGGCCTACATTTGTGTGTGTATGTGTGTGTGTGTGTGTGTGTGTGCGCGCGTGCGCGCCATCCCTCCCCTCCCCTCCCCTCCCCCCATCACATGGAGGAACTTATTTTCTAAACACCCAGTGCTCTACTATGAGTGTCTACTTCTCTTTCTGCTCCCCCGATTTAAAAAATCTGAATTGCTCTTTTCCCACCCCTAATTAAAAAACACACAAAACCTATTTATCCTGACACCTTCCCTGATTGTCCCCACTCCACCTCTTTTCCCATTGCTTTCTGTTAACTTGGTCCTCACCTGCACCTAAGCTCTTATCAAGGTCTGGTTGGTATCAAAACTAGAGGCTGCTTCGGTTGGGAGAATTCTCAGCACCTGGGTCTAAAACAAAGTCCTTGGATAAACTGCTTGGCATTACTCCACTCCCCAAGGAGTGCTGCCTTCCCCTCTTATCAGCTGTTTTCCTTTTCTTTTTTTGTAATCTTCACCTGAAGATATGTTTTCATTGACTGTTTAGACAGAAAGGAAAGGAGAGAAAAAGACAAAAAACATTGATGTGATAGAGAAACATCAATAGGCTCCCCCCACCACTGCACATGCCCCCCTCACCACAGGCATATGCCCTGACCAGGAATTGAACCCACAACCTTTTGGTCCATAGGATGTCACTACAACCAACTGAACCACCCGGCCAGGGCTACCAGCTGTTTTCTGGCGCACAGGAGTCCTGGTCAATAATTAATGCCACTGTGATAAGTTATCAGAAGAGCTGGCACAAGTAGGCTACCCTTAAATAAGAAACAGGGGCATTGGTGCTTTCCCTACATGGGAGGGGCATGGGAGACTCTCCTAAAACAGGTGAAACCAAGGAGACCACTGGACCACCTAGGCTAAAAGGTCATTAGGTCTACTCCCAAGTCTGTGTCTTTCCTCAGACACCCTGACAATAAGATGACCCATTAAGATGACCTGGGGCTGGCACTTGGTGTGGAAAAGGATATAGGAGGGGTGCACTTTGTCCTTGGGGCTGAGGAAAACTGATAGTGTCGGGATGCTAGGAGGGGGTTGGCGGAGACTGGGGCCCTTCTCTGTGTGCTCTAGGGTCCAGGCTAATTGACTACACCTGGTGGGCTCACACACAGGTCAGAGCCACCCTCTGGGAAAGTGCAATCTGTACCTGGTTGGCCTCAAACAAGGGTTCAGATGTTGGAACCCTTTTCTTTCCCAGTTCACAGAGTTGGATGTGTGCAAGTGAAATGGGCTTGGAAAGAGAAATGTGAAGTGTTATGAAATGGGAGTCATCAACAGGAAGAATAATCTGCACAGCCTTGACAGCTTTTTCCCTTCTGTTGTCATGTGAGATAAAATGCTGAGGTGTGGGCAAGGGCTAAAATTAGGAGAAGACCGTACAATGTTTCACTGAGGAAGAGGTTTCTCAGTTGAGGCCTCTTAATGCATTCCTTGGGACAGGCTTGAGGGGCATGCTCTTTGTCCCCTAGGAGACTGTTCATTGTCATAGGATCATAAAGTCTCCCAAGTTGCTATTATCCAAATTGATCTTTGTCTTCATACAGTTAGCTCCAGAAAGTCCAGAGCCTCACTCCTGAAGAGGAGTCAGGAAAACTATACATGACTTGGGAGAGGAGCAGGTATACTACTTGAGAGAAAAGCATGGGAGGCATGAGAGGTGTGGGTGGGCCCAGGCCACACAGCCTGTCTCTAAAGAGGCTCCTTGAGGCCCACAGCCCAAGAGGCCCTGTAGTTCTAATCTTCCTGGGATGCCTTGGGCTCTAAGAAGATTTCAGAGATTAATCTCCAGACATCTGTCAAAGGGGCAAAAATGTACTTCCCTTCATTTTTCCACCTATACCTGGGATCAGGCCAGTCACTGATGTGGCTTTTTGATGTCCTGTGAACTTGGGAGCCTGACTCAAACACTCAAGTTTATCCTTCTCCACCCTCTTTTGCTTCTTCATATGCCCATGAATAAACTTTGTCTAGTCTCTCCTGTTAATCTGGCTTTTGTCAGTTAATTTGGAGGCCTCCAAACTAGAACCTAAATGGGTAGAAAAAATTTTCCTCCCAACACCACTCAAGATAGATAGCCCTATCTAAGGGCTAAGAGACAAACAAATCATGGGTGGAATGCAAGGTGGTGGGTGAAGTACAGAAACATGAAACTAAAAGCTCATGCCATATGCGAGGGTTTCCTTAGCCCCAAGGCTACCTCCAAACGCATGTGCATTAGAAAATAAAATTGACTCCACTAAACATTTCTTGGATATCATGGGGCAAAACAATTTTAAAATTTCCTTAAAAAATTCTTTTCTTCCTACCAAGGTTCCTTTCTTTTCTCCTCTACCCCTTTCCTCCCATCCCCAGGATTTTGAAACTGCCTACTATTTTAAATTCAGGTTTATAGCAAAACCCAGGCCTGGCTGTTACTTGACTCCACCTCCTGTAAAAAGCAATTCAGAGATCACCCAGTGTTATTTAAACAGTTTTCTTTGCAGGGAATCTCAACACCACTCCCTGTGGACAATCACTGACCTACCATTTATTGATGCTTTCTAAGCACTCCTTAAAGTGCTTTGCACAACTTACCTTATCCCATTTTAATTACAAATCCAAGAGGGACACATTATTATCCCCATTTTAGAGACCAGGAAACACGAGGAGCAGGGAAATAAGTCAAGTTCTGTAACTTGTCCAGCTCTTAAGGTGCTAAATTAGAATTTGGACTGGGAGTCTAAATCCAGAGCATGGACAGCCCTTGCCCAGAAGCCAGTTCCTCTTATAAGTTTATGGAGCTTGGAGATGTTCCCCAGCCCTGGAGCTCAGAGCCAGCTTGTCTATTAGCAATTTTAGGAAAAATATATTTAGGTGAAAGAAACTTAATATATTTATGTTAAGGCAGTTACTGAAGAGGCACCTGAAACAGAAACAGCACCTTCACTTTGGGATGTGAAATTTCTAAGTAGTTAGATGCAGTGAATGAACAGCCTTTACAGAGTGTGTGTGTTTTTATTTAAATGTCTTTATTGATTATTTAGAGAGAGGAAGGGAGAGATAGAAACACCCATAGGCTGCCTCCTGCATGTACCCCACTGGGGAATGAGCCTGCAACCCGGGCATGTGCCCTGACTGGGAATTGAAGCAGGACCTCTCAGTCCACGGGATGAGGCTCAATCCACTGAGGCACACCAACTGGGTCAGAGTGATTTTGAAGAGATGATCCAGTGGACGAAAGAAAGGAGATGGTGGGAGTTCCCAATTAACAATGAAGCAGGTTTTGATGATGATTCAGAATTTCATAAACATATATTTCTGAATAAATACCTACAAGACTTTCTAATAACCAGTTTGCCACTTCATGGAGTTGGTGACCTGTGGCTTTTTCAAAAACCTATATCTGAGCATTAAACAGAAAGTGGAACACATTGAGCGATATAGAAATTATTATTATCTTTTAATTAATAAATTTTTGTTATAGATGTTTCTCTTTTCCACCCTCTCTCATTCCTGCTCTGTCCCCCACAGCATTGTTGTGTATGTCCACTGGTTATGCTTATATGCAGAAGTTGTTTGGTTTATCTCTTTCCTCCCCATCCCACTCTCCTCTGAGGTTTGTGAGTCTGAACCCTACTTCTATGTCTGTGGGTCTATTTTGTTCATAAACTTACATTGTTCATTACATTCCACAAATAAGTGAGAGTATGTGGTATTTGTCTTTCTCTGACTAGCTTTATTTAGCTTAGCATAATACTTTCCAGGTCCTTCCATGTCATCTCAAAAATTAAGAGATCTCTCTTTCTTATAGCTGCATAGTACTCCATTGTGTATAAGTACCACAGCTTTTTTACCCACTCATCTATTGATGGAACTTGGGCTGTTTCCAGAACTTAGCAATTGTAAATAGTACTGCTATGAACATAGGGGTAGAAATTATTTTAATGAAAAACAGGACATTCTAAAAGAAAGTGACATACAGTTCAGTGGAAAACCATTGAACTTCTTTTTTCAAGCTGTTGGAGAGTAATGTTATAACTAAATAAAATAATTTTACTAGAAATAAGTAAGTCTAGAGCATGGATATTTGATATTTCTTACTCAAGCAGTCTCAAAATTGTTACCAGCCAAAAAAGATCTCTTTCTAGGAGAAAATTCTGATGCTAAGAAACTTGATATTCTTTGTTTTTTCTCCGAAAGGGATTTGGGGCTTTGATTTATCCTTAGTTTCTCTACTCAGCTGTGGCCTACAGGATGAGTAGTTACTGTAGATAAGACTGTCATATACTCACCTCAGGAGTGTTAAAGTGACCAGGACTTGGTGAGGTCATGTAGAGGCTTCCTTCTTTTGCAAACAGTTCAAGAGTTCTCCCCTCTTTCTCCAGTTCTGGGAGCCTTCTAGCTAGAGACAGCCCAGTACCCGCTCCCCCGGGAGAGCTGCTGGTAGGAGACAGGGAATTCGGGTCAAAGCCACTCCAGAACTCCTGGGGAGAGAGAACCTCCTTTTCCCTCCCTCTCCCTTGATTACATATCATGTGCCCTTTGCTAACCTCCAAGGGCTATTTGGTGAAATGGCCCCCAAAGGCATAACGAAGACTTGGCTGGTGTTTGAGGAGCAGTGCCATAGAGGCTTTCTCTGCTGTTCCTGCGAACCAGCAGCCAGATGAGATTCACATGGCAAGAGAGGCTCCTGTAGGCAAAGACTCACTCTCCCCAGCGACCCTGAGAAGAGGGAAGCCCGGGAAATTCCCCACTCCTTCATCAGGATGCCCTTGTGTTCCTCTGGACTGAAGCCAAGGTGCTCCTCCCACCCTTCTCATCTTGGAAGCCAAGCCCCTTTTGTAATCTGCATAAAGTCCACAGCTCAGGGATCTGGTGACTGCAGAAACTGGCCTTCCACTTGCTGTCACCTGGAATCCAAGCTACGGACCCAGGTAAGCAGCCCAAGAGGTGGTCTCAGGATCTGCTTCTGCTTGAGGTTTGGACAGGAGGGACCCAAGGTGGGTGAGGCTAACACCAAGAAAGCTTGGGCTAGGCACACATAGCTGGGGCTGAGCTGGGATGGGGAGGGAGCATTCAGGCTGCAGAGAACCCATGGGGATGGGAAGGAGCAGCCCCAGGTCGGGGGAGGCAAGCATCTGTCTTTGGAATACAATGGCAGCCCTTTATGGTGCCAGTGCCAGGCACTGGGTTGGGTTTCCCTTGTAATGTAGGGCAATGGGGCTCTGTTCGCCATGATCCTGGATGTCATGGTAACAGGGATACAATTTGCATCATGGTTAATTTAAAAAGATCTTCTATTAAGCCACTAGAACACTGAATACAAAAGTATTTTTAGATGAAAACAAAAACAAACAAACCTCCAGTATTCAAAAACAGGACTGCTGGGATTTTAGGTCACGTCAGAGGTCACTACTCAGAAGGGAGGACCTTCTCTCTGTGACTAGTAGGGGTCAAATGCTTTTGGAGAAGAGTCCATGCGAGTGTCTCATCACTTGGAAAATCTTGCAGGAAGAGGGATGTCTTTCGGGCTGACCTGAAGAGAGACTGTAAGCCAGGGAGACCCCAGGTGGGAGCTGAGGTTCTCTTTCTTAAGTGACGCTTTTCCTCCTCTCCCCCTTTGCTGGCTAGGCTCCTCCAAGGACTGAGGCCACCATGGCTCAGGAGAAGTCCCTCATCCTGTTCTCAGTGCTAGCCCTGGTGCTGTTGGTGCTGGGGAGGGTCCAGCCTTCCCTGGGCAAGGAATCTAGGGCCATGAAGTTCCAGCGGCAGCATATGGACCCTGACAGCGACCCCAGCAACAACTCCAGCTACTGCAACCAAATGATGAGGCGCCGGAAAATGACAGAGGGAAGGTGCAAGCCAGTGAACACCTTTGTGCACGAGCCTCTGGTGGATGTCCAGGCCATTTGCCTCCAGGGAAACATCACCTGTAAGAATGGACAGTCCAACTGTCACAAGAGCAGCTCCAGCATGCACATCACGGAGTGTCGCGTGACAAATGGCTCCAGATATCCCAACTGTGCATACCACACCAGCCAGAAAGAGAAGCAGATCATTGTGGCCTGTGAGGGAAACCCGTCTGTGCCGGTCCACTTTGACGCTTCAGTGTAGGTCTCCACCGAAAATCAGAGCACCTGCCTCTCCCCTCTTCCTTCCTAGCACTGAGGGAAATAACTCAAGTTAGGGCTTCTGTCCATCACACACATGCTTCCCTGGCCTGAGACTTGCCCCTTTGTAGTTGGGTGATGAAGAGAAGGTTGTGAGGTGGGCCCCATGTTAACCGCTTTGCTTCCTCTTTCTGCTTACTGTGAATGTGACTGCTTCTCTGTCAGAGGGTGAGAACTGTTAATCCGGTTAACTTTGGTGAGCAGTGAATAGAATCATTAAATGCTTCCTCTTCTGACTCTCGTCTTTTAAAGATAATTTTCTTTTGAGATCATTTGTTTTTTTTTTCATGTAGATTGCTTGTTGCCAAACAGAAACTGTAAGTGATGTGGGGGAAAGACTATTCCATGATATGACCCCTGTCCCGTGAGCTGCACTTGGGCCAGAACAGAAATGGCTTCCCATAAGCCTCCCAGAGGTGTCTGATCATAACTGATGTTCATTCTGACATAAATCACGGCCCCTCCCCTGGCTCCTGTGAATTGCTACTTCCTGGAAGAGGCCATTGTCCTGACCTGGTTAAGCATGTAAAGTGATTTCTGTACCTGGTAGCATTCATGTACTAGTATCCGAGATTATCCCTCCACCCCTTTTATCCTGTGTAATTCTTTGACACCTGTCAGGTGCCGAGGGCCTCCACTCTGTCTTGGAGCCAACCAAGATGTGTCTTGTGTGTACATTTTTCTAGTGAACTCTATTAAAAACTAGACTGGAGTGACCAGCCTCTTTTCATTGGTCTTTTCTTGCCCTACCCTGCGGGAAGTAGGTTTCAGTCCTGGGATTTTTCCCTGGTCTCTGCCTGTGTGGGCTGTTTAGATACAGGGAGCTGCAGAGGGCGCTGTCATGCTGGGTGAACTGACAGAAGGAGAAGCTCAAACACTGAAATCTCTGACACAGAAGGACAGTGCGACCTCACGAAGACCCTGCTCCGCCTCAGGGTGGGGAGGAGTGTATGAAATTATAATCCTAAATTTTCTTCTCATTTCCTCCTTTTTTTGAGTGAGCTATTACTAAATCAGAAAACTGGTTACCTCTTACTTGGAAAATTGGAACCTTCCATTTAGGAGCTAGAAGGGACTTTAGAAGGAAATAAGTCGATTTCAACTTATGTACAAACTTGAATTGGAAGTGCCTGCTTAGGCTGCTGCAGAAGAATTTCTAAACAGTGATGTGGTTGAACAGGAGCCTGTAGAGAAGGCGTGAGAGAAGGAAGGCGTGCATGCCACCCTTGACCCACTGACACCCCTGCTTTCCACAGAGGAGCACCCTGGATCTCAGAAAGGTTCCGTGGTTTGCTCATGGCTGCTGCTACTTAGTGGCACAGCTGGGAGTAGACCCCAGGTCTCCTAGTTTCCCAGTCATCCTTTCTGCCACTAGTCTACTCAAGAAAACAGTCCCTCGGTCGTCCTGCTCCGCTACATGCTGTGCACCTATGGCTCTGTCTTCCTGAGCTCGCTGGCGGCTCTCACAGGTTCCCAGAGCACTTGCCTGCGACTCTGTTCTGTTCTTGGCAAACTTTCTGTATTACAGCTGTTGAAAAAAGTAGACTTAGCTTCTGTCATCACTTAATCATTTTATTTTTCCCACTGTTTACAGCTGCATGTAACCCTGGACAAGGTCATAGGGAGAGAAAAGCCCTACTTTCAAACGGTTTGACCACTTCTGTCATTGTCTTTATATCCTACTTAGAAAACATTTATAAATGTTGGAAGTGGCTACTGTTCTTATGTAAAGTAAATTTTTAGCCCTGGGGGCTTCTGTATGAGGAGGAAGGCTTGCGGTGAGAGGGACCAGAAGTCTGTGCATTTCTGGGGTAATGGGGATCTCACTCCTTACCATCAGTGAAGACGCAGGAGGAAAAGAAACAAAAAGCAAACATTAAGCTTCTAAATTTGTTTCATGTGGACAGAATATTTCTTAAGTTTATCTCACCCTTCTTCCCAAGCATGAAGCTCCTCACTTTTCCCCCTGCGAGTGCTAAAACTTCAATGGAGCTTCTAAGAATGCTAACTTGCTGTCTTACTGCATTTGGATCTGCACATCACCAGCTCTGGCTTCTGGCTCCCTGCGCCTCTTGGGTGTTAACCTAAAAATAAAAAGCAAAAATAAGAATCAATAAGCGTTTATTTAAGATCCAAAAGAACTGCAGTTCAGGAGAACACATTCAGGCAGACCCCAAATAGTGTTCTCCCTTTATAGGGGCTTAGGGTTTTTATGGGAAAAAAGGAGGAAGATGAGATAATTTTTATTCAAAGGAGTTTTTTGGTGCTAGATAGAGTAGGGTTAGATTGCCCTTCATGGATTGGCTTGAGATTCAGCTAGAATTGCATTTAGTTGATTGCTTAGCAATTTGGTCATTGGCAAAGCCCTATTTCATCAGTCCTTACAAATAGGATAGTCTCTGACTTCCTATTTGGAATCATGGTGGATTGGTCCAGTTTGTAAGATTAAGAAAAATAATATATACGGGGCAGTTTCTCTGAAATGGCTACTTAGGTTCTATTATAATGACTCCACTCATATTATCTTTCACTTGGGCCACGAGACTGCTGGGGCCTCCATCTGTGAATAAAGCAACAGGTGACAACAGATGGTCCAGGTTTAGACTTGCATAGTCAGAGAGCCAGCGGGGAAAGAAGGTGGTCTGAATAGGTGGAGCCTGGAGAGAAAGATGGAGTCCTGACCTGGAGGGGTCAGGCATATTCAAGAAAAGAAACAGTCTCAGGAAACAAACCAAAGGTCTCTGTTCTGTGGGGAGACTATTGCTACCCTACAAATAAAGGAATACTAGTCCCTCCTGATGTTAATGACAGCATTAGACCCTGGTCCTTGAGTATGGCTAAGAAAGAATTCAGAACCAATAACTCAAATACAAGAAAAAGTTTGTTTAGAAAGTCACAGAGGTAGAAGAAGTCAGCCAGCTGAGCTGCATGACTTAGAAAACAAGTTGCAGAGGCAAAAGAAGGCCCTTGGAGCTTAAGAGCTAGGTACACAGCAAAGATGTGCCTGAGAGAAGAAGAGGGGGAAAGGTGAGGGTATGCTCAATAAATGAAGAGCATGCATTGGTTTCTTCCTCTTAAGGGTTTGATTTGTTTTCTAAAGGTGGGGATTTTAGGGGTGGTCTCAGAGGAGGCTCTCAATAGAATATTCATCAGCTTTCCAAGTGTGTCATTTCAGGATTATGATCTCTACTGATAGTTTGGCACTAGTGTAGGGGGTCATTAGTAATTGCATTTGACCCTGATGTCTGTCATGTTCTTGCTTTATTTGGTTTAGCTGATATTCTGGGCCTGGAGCTAAAACACAACTGAAACCTAGACGTTGTCTCTAGTTTGACCAAAACTCTGTCTCTGTTGTCAACAGATCAGAGTTTTTTTTCCTAAGATTATTTGATGCAGGTCAGAACCTCATTGTCCTGGAGGCTCAATGCTTAAGGGATTAACTGTGCAAGGGCCTGTATAGGAATTGTATGAGGCTATTCTCTGGTCCCCTCATTCCTCTTCTAAGGGGGTCTAAATCACATGACTAATGATATGAAGGTCAGGGGTCTAAACTGCATGTCTTGCAACATGCTAGGGGAAGAAGGGTCTCAGACCCTTACCCTGGAGGTAAGATCCTAGCTTATAATACTTATTTTTTCTCTAGTTTTGCCCCTGCTAAGCACCTGGGAATTTCCACGCTGGTGACATTCCATACCTATTCTATTGTTCCTGCTCTACTCATGCCTGTCTAAATGCCTACTCATTCACAAGAAGACTAACCCAGGCAGATTAACAGTAAAGTGGAGGTACTAATATGGGTATCTGCCTGAAGAGAGAAATAATCATATCCAATGAAGGATAATGTTAACTTTCAGAAGATTCTTCAAATGAAACAACTTCAAAAATTTCACATTCTCAGTACACAGATAAATACATCTTAGTGTCTCAGCTCTTCCTTACCCCTGCAGCTTTATGTGTATCTGATACAGTAGGCAGTTAGACATGAGCAAGGTAGGAACTATAGCCAGGTACAGAAGGTTACCAGGGCAGAAAGCCCCAGGTGCCTAGCAATGAGCAAAACTGTGAAAACAAGTATTGTATGGTGGGACTTCACCCCAGGGTGACCTTTTGTTCACTAGCATATCACTGGTCATGCAGTTTAGACCCCCTGACTTTCCATATTACTGGTCATGCAGTATGGAAGTTCAGATTCTCCCCTGACCTTTCATCCCTTGGCATATTGCTAGTCATGTGGTTGATCCCTTTAGAGGAGGAACAAAGGAGCTGGAGAGTAGCATCATACAACTCCCATACAAGCCCTTGTAGGGTCACTTCCTTAGGCATTAAACCCCCAGGACAAAATGGTTCTGACCTGCATCAAATAACTTTAGGAACAAAACCTCAGGTCTGTTGACTATAGACAGGCAGAGTTTTGGTCAAACTAGAGATAACATTTAGGCCTTAGTTGTGTTTCAGCTCCAGGCCCAGAAAATCAGCAAAACCCAATGAAGCAATTGAAAGGGTTAATAATGTTTTAACAAAATTAAACTCCATTCTGATCAGTTATTTCTGCACGTAAACACCCGAGCAGTTTTCTAAAAACCCTGGGACTGACACTCAGGGGAACCATGAAAATAAGGGGTTAATGGTCGCCTCGGAAAACTTGGAGGGACCATAGAAAAGAAAGAGATTAATGATGGCCCTGACCTCTGCTGAAGCAGACTCCTTACCTCTGATACAGCTTGTATCAGCCCCAACACCAATTAAACGGTGCCAAGAGAATGTGTTTTTTTCTTTGAATGTAGTTTTTTTGTTTTGTTTGTTTCTGTAGTTTGGGCCTATAAAAGCCACAGAACAAAGAGATTTTGATGCTGAGCTTGAAATTTGCAATTCAGTATGCCTGCACCCAGGCATATGTAATAAAGCCATTTGGCTCTACATTGGCCTTGGATTGTGGATGTGATCTCCTGCTGGCTCAGACCTTTTATTTATTAAATAAATAAATAGGAGGTCTGTGAGGATCCCACATAGGGAGCAACCGCGGGCCCCTGGATTCCTCCAGGCCTCCTGTCTGACCAGGATGGATCACACCCTCAGCCCATACCGGACCTCAAACCTTTCCTGCCAATTCAGCATCAACACTGGCTGCTAATTCACTGGTGAGTGTTTATTTGCCTACGGGTCTGTTTCTCTGGGCTGTCTCATAATTCCCTGTCTGGGACATGAGAGCCAGGTCTCTTGGTCACTCCTGTGTGATCGTCCCCTCTGAAAATCCAACGCTGGTTGGGACATGCTTCTTGGGAACCAGGTTCCCTTAGCTCACCATATATCTATGGACACCTGGTATAGGTGAGTTGCACGTCTCTCTAGTCTAGGGGAGAAGCAGGGATTCCGTCTTCTTCCTCTAGTGCAGAGGTTCTCAACCTTTCTAATGCCTCGACCCTTTAGTACAGTTCCTCATGTTGTGGTGACTCCCAACCATAAAATTATTTTTGTTGCTACTTCATAACTGTAATTTTGCTACTGTTATGAATTGTAAGGTAACTATCTGATATATAAGATATTTTTATTTATTTTTATTTTTTTTATCCTCACCTGAGGACATTTTTGCATTTCTCTTCAGATAGAGTGGGAGGGAGAGAGAGAGAAACATTGATATGAGAGAGACACATCTAGTGGTTTCCACCCACACGACCCCA